TTGCTCTTTCTGTATTCTGGTTTTCAAGATCCTTTCTGATATTAATTCTTTCTCTATAACTCTTTCTGCCTTTCATATCTACTCCACTCCATATTAGTACGTGATTTTCATGTATTTTTTGGGCTCCACTTCCTTTTAAACGTCAATCCGACAGTCCAAGTATTGGTGTTCTCCACCTTTTCATGAAAGCAATGAGTTTGGTTTCTTGTCTTTGAGGCCACAGATATTAAGAGTACAAATCCTTTCTCGTAATACTTTAACGTTTCATGGTCGTTTTCCGTCTATATTAGTCCGTTTCTTTCTTCTATTTGTGTTTATAGCTATAAATAATCCGCTGCCGACTTGCTAGGCCTGTCACAGTTTCACCAGAGCCACGTTAGCCTGCAGCTTTTCGTGGTGACCCGGGTTCTCCTTCACGGCTAGCGTGACGCCTCAGTGCCATAAAGCCACACCGTACTTCGTTGACCCCAGCAATCCCCTACTTTGTCCAGTTTCCCGTGACGTGGACCTGAAATAAATACTCTAGTAAGTTATATAAAATAATATGTATACGTATATTTATATATATAAATGTATATATTTTTTACTATAAAAAATATATAAATGTGTATATTTACTACCTTCGAATGGGAATTTGCTGACAGCAAGGGACTCTACGGAGTAGGAAAAGCGGTCACATACGTAAAAGTCAGTTGCACTGCAGGTTAAAGAACCAACAGTCGACTGTCCATGAGATGTAGCAAGGAACGTAGAGAAGAAAGATACACAGTCAGATTCTAGACACAGTAAAAGCTGCTACAACTGCTTCGCGATGGCCTGTGTTTCTGCTTTTTCCCCTTCTGGGATCACAGGCGACCAGACACGTTGTAGTCATTAACGTTGGCGTAAGGACTGGTTCTTGGCTTCTTGTTTTCCTGCAAAGAAAGAAAAACCAACCTCTTGTTATCCTCCACACGGTTATCATTTTAGTCTTGTCCTCACTAACATAGGCAGACAACTGACTGGCCATCCACTAGGCTATTGAATGTTGATCCATCTTTGTTTTACTTGTAAGTGTCCGCTGACGGAACAATGTCCCCGTCTTCTAATGAAGATGAGCATTTTGTCAATCAGAGCTTACAGAATACACAACAACGTTAAGGAGGGGGGGGGGGCTGGTTTATAGACCTATCTCGGTAACTATGGCCTTTCAGATAACGCCTTATAGCAAGGAGGTATAACAAGAAAATATCTCTAAAATGTAACTTAAATTTTTGTTGTTGTTTAAGTCTAGGGTTACCATGGTAACGGCGGTCATATTGAAAATAAACAACTTTCATAAAAGTACAAAGGATTATTTTATTGGAAAACCAAATGTGTTCAAATTTGGTACATTTGTAGATATACTTAATACACAATATTGTACAGTTGGGATCTTGGATATCTTGAATAGGAAAAAAGTTAGAGATG